GCCTTTTAGTATCAAATTCTTCTGATATAGGTACTTCTAATTGAGGTGAATAAGGTACTTTAATTAATCAAAATGAACAATGTCTGTTAATGGTCTATCTTATTCTTACAATTGTTTGTCAACTGTTATATAGGAAGTATACCGCATAAAGCTTCCTGGCCCACCAAATATTGGAGAGGGGAAACCGGAAAATCAAAATCATTCCATAATTTTCACACGTGGTGAAGCTCTCCAAACCATTGACATGAACCAGGTATTAATCAGCCTTCAGTTTTATTGAAAAAGAAAAAGAATAATCTCATATATCTGTTCTAATAGTTTGTTCTTACAGGATAGCTATTTAGAAGAAGCTTTGAAAGTGCGAAATATCTTGCAAGAGTTCCTGAAAGACCATGGTCGGCGGCATCCCACGGTACTTGGCATGAGAGAGCACATATTTACAGGAAGGTCAGCATCTGAGAATTATGATTACAATGACCTGATTATACAATTATATAATAGCCAGCTTTGGTTAGGGGTAAGAATGTTATCTGGAGTTCATTTTTCATTGTTAATCACCAATATGGAGATAGCCAGTTTTACACATTGTTCTTGGGTTAAAGTTAAAGTTTGAGTTCTGAACTTTACTAAGTTGAATTACCATAGTTGGCTATTTGAATCCAGTGCCATTTGTTTTTAGCTATACATGTGGATTGGGAATTCCTGCATCAACTTCATTGTCAACGAGAATGCTTGTTTCGCAGAACGAGTTAACTCTAAAAAGAGGATAATAGATATTAAAAGAAAAATAAGAATAAAGAAGAGAAATTTTTGAATTAAATGCTAAAGAAGCTTTCATCCACTTCTCTGATTGCAGTGTTTCTTCTTTAGCTTGGTTTATGTCCTATCAAGAGACCAGTTTTGTTACCATTGGCCAGAGGCTTCTGGCTAATCCACTCAGGTAATTTAAGGCCTATTTTTTACATGCTTACTTTTATTTATAATAATCAAATGATTAATAAGGAAATAATCTTTGGGGATAAAAGATCAGTTCTATATTTCTTTCCAAAAGTGACATTGTGTTTTTCTTGTTCTCTGCATAAAGGGAAACAAGACTATATAATGTTGTATTCAGTTTGCTTACAGCAACTCTCTCTTTTTTTTTTTTAATTTTTTTTTCTTTCTTTTCCATCGAAAATTTCAGGGTCAGGTTCCATTATGGGCACCCGGATTTCTTTGACCGAGTATTTCATTTGACAAGAGGTGGCATTAGCAAAGCATCCAAAACAATCAACCTGAGCGAAGATGTTTTTGCAGGTTTTCCAGTTAATGCAAAATGTTTATTTGAACATCATAGAGTTGTACAGATTAGCAAACACTTGACACTCTGATGTAACATAGGATTTAACACAACTCTGAGACGGGGATATGTCACGTATCTTGAGTACATGCAAGTCGGAAAAGGTCGTGATGTAGGCCTTAACCAGATTTCAAAGTTTGAAGCTAAAGTTGCCAATGGAAACAGCGAACAAACAATCAGCCGTGATATATACCGCCTTGGTCATAGATTTGACTTCTTCCGAATGCTCTCGTGTTATTTTACAACCGTTGGCTTCTACTTCAACAGCCTGGTAACTACGTTACATCCTGTAGTTTATCTTCTTTTTGCTGTCTTTGAACATGAAATTTGTTTAGTAAGTCATCAATGAGCTACTTGGAAACTTGACCTGCTTCGTCACACTTGTAAACTTTTTTAATAAAATCTTTGCATGGTGAGGGATCAAAATGGCTTAACTGATGCAATTCTCTCTTCCTCCAGCCGGAAATGCTTTTCCTGCTTTCTGTTAGGTCCTTCTTGAAAAAGGCGACCTCTTTCTTCCTCCAACAAGTGAAATTAACATAACCAATACTTCACTTGCAACTTTTATTAATTCAGTAGTTTTTAGTCAAACTTGGAGTTTATCCTTTTTTACTGTCTCCGAGTACGAGACTTTCTAACTAAGCATTAGTATGCGCGACTTGGAGCCGTCGTGTGATTATCAATAAAATATTTCCCTTTAACCAAAAAAAAAAAAAAAGGCTGCAATTTTATTATTACTCCATCCAACCCAATACTTGACCTATTTTCCTTCAGTCCTTACCAGAAAACTGGACTCTTGTTCGCTTTAACACGTGAAACTATTATGAACCACTACTTCAAATTTGATGTAACATCTTCTGAATCAACTACTTCGTATTTCCAATAATTATTTCTATTTAAACTCATAGAATAATCAATTCAAACATTTTACTCTGATTAACTGTGTAGGTTAGACTATGTGATATTTTCTGAGTCCAAGGGAGTACCTTATTTGCTTAATCAAGAAATTTACAGTGGTAATTCTTATGAATAATTCAAGCGTTTCAGCTTCCATATTCTCTTGGTCTCCTGTGATATACACTTGGCTATGCTGATTTCTATGTCTCTTTTAATCCCTGTTCTCAAAACTTTGCAGCTCTCAGTGATTACGATATATGTGTTTCTCTACGGGCAGCTATACCTGGTATTAAGTGGTCTACAAAGAGCGCTTCTCATTGAGGCGAAATTGCAAAACATAAAATCACTGGAAACAGCTCTAGCTTCTCAGTCATTTATCCAGCTTGGACTTTTAACGGGTTTACCAATGGTCATAGAGTTGGGACTTGAGCGAGGGTATCTTAATGCCCTTAAAGATTTTGTTCTCATGCAATTGCAACTGGCTGCTGTTTTCTTTACTTTTTCCTTTGGAACAAAATCTCACTATTATGGCAGAACAATTCTTCATGGGGGTGCCAAGTATAGACCCACTGGTCGTAAAGTTGTGATTTTTCACGCCAGCTTCACCGAAAATTATAGACTTTACTCTCGGAGTCACTTTATAAAAGGATTTGAACTTCTGCTTCTGTTGATTGTTTATGATTTGTTTAGGCGATCATACGAGAGCAATATGGCATATGTTTTAACTACTTATGCGATATGGTTCATGTCATTGACTTGGTTGTTTGCACCATTTCTATTTAATCCTTCTGGATTTGACTGGGGCAAGATAATGGATGACTGGAAAGATTGGAACAAGTGGATCAATCAGCAAGGTGGTATAGGGATACAACAAGACAAAAGTTGGCAGTCTTGGTGGAATGACGAACAAGCTCATCTTCGTCATGCAGGGCTATTTTCTCGGTTAATTGAAATACTCCTTTCACTAAGATTTTTCCTTTACCAGTATGGACTGGTGTATCACCTAGACATATCCGGCTCGCATAAAAATTTCCTAGTCTATGTGCTCTCATGGGTTGTCATTGCTTTTATTTTCCTCTTGGTCAAGGTAAGCTTCTTCCTCTACATTGTCTTGACTAGTATCTAATTTCTTGTTCTATTTGCATGGTGCTAGTATGTCCCTCTTAAAACAGCTATATGCATTGAATGTCTGATCCAGAATTCTTTCGTCAACAACCCAATTTTAATTTGAGTTTTGACGAAATCATTTACATAATATGTGACACAAGACCTTGTAGATTGGTTGGATAAACTATTAAATATAAACAACAAAGAAATTGAGACTCCGAACCTTGCATCCCTTTTTTCTTTTCCTTTTACTGTTTCGTGTCGTGAACTTCTCTTTTGACAGCATGTACAGTTTTCAGAGTCTTTTACAATGCTGATATACTTTACATATAATGGATGGCAGAAGAAATACTAAAATTGAGAATCTGACCATTACTGTTACTGTTACTTTCTTGAGTATTAAGTGTACTATTACTGTTACTTTCTTGATTCAGAACATAGTTCATTTGTTTAATGAATTCTCCAACACGACACAGGTACTGAATATTGGAAGGCGGGTTTTAAGTGCGAACCATCACTTAACTTTCCGGCTGTTTAAAGCTTTTATATTCCTAGGAGTTGTAGCAACTATTATTACCCTGTCAATCATATGTCATCTGTCCGTGAGAGACTTGATTGTTTGCTGTCTAGCTTTTCTACCAACTGGTTGGGGCTTCATATTGGTAAGTGCAGAATATGTTCTTCCTAAAAGCCTTGATGTTGTACTAGTTTCTGCTTTGCATAAATGGTTGTTTTTTCCTCAGGTTGGGCAAGCAGTGAGACCCAAGATTGAAGGTACTGGATTATGGCACTTCACTCGGGTGTTTGCTCGGGCTTATGACTATGGAATGGGTGTTGTTCTTTTTGCACCTATAGCTTCATTGGCTTGGCTTCCAATAATTTCAGCTTTCCAAACTCGGTTTCTGTTTAATGAGGCTTTCAGTAGGAGGTTGCAGATTCAGCCAATTCTTGCTGGAAAGAAGAATCATTAGTGATCTCTTCTTGGAACAACTTGGTTTTGACTACATAACTTGCACGTACATATACTTCATTTTTTAGTACTGTAGAAGAGCAAGATGTCTAGGTTACTTAAAACCCATCTTGTCGTGTGGATATATTCAACAGGGTAGCAATAGGTTATATTCTTTTATGTATAGATATACTGCTTTGACAAGGTACAGTGCATAGACATTTGATGAATACTCCACAGTTATCAACATCTACTATCCATCCGAAAAGTTAGTACTATTATTTTTTGCTACAGTACCTAATCACATAGGGTAACGGCATGAATCGAAGACACTGCATATGGTACATCTTTAGGTAGTCCCCTTAACATAACAACTACTCATTTTAGGAAAGGAAAGGGATTGAGCAGAAGAACAAATACAGTAACAACCCATTATTGGCAGATTACAAAATTTCTGAAGTGACTTCGAATCTAACACGATTAGAACAAGACGTCTATACACCAAAAGTAATACGGAGAAATCGCTTGATTCATTTCTTGAATGAGTTAGACCTCTTTCGTTTAGCTCAGACAAGAGCAATTCAAAGACCTATAGCGCAAAATCCATGTAAAGAGGAGCACAGGAAAAATAAAAGAACCAACAAATAAATGGAAGATCCAAAATTGATGACCTACATACTCGACCAAGATAAACCAGTACTTTTATACTGGAGAGGAATCCAACAAGGAAAGTAAATATTAAAAATTGACCTTTCCAAAATTTTCATGATTTACATTTTACAGAACTTGAAAAAAGTAGACACATTGAACCTTATGGTACAGTTTGCTTTAGCCTACATGAAGCTATTACAGGCAGGACGTAACAGCATATACAAGTAAAACGGAATAAGAACATCAATCTGCTTAAAGACTGTACAAGGGGGAAAATGAGAAAACTGCCCTCTAACATGTTCAGAGTTCGTTTCATTGGTCTAACTCGAAACTTTTGAAACTTGAAGTCTGACCAAAGGCATGATTGTCTTTTGCGTTCCCTCCTAGCTCATCTGGAGCTTTAATGCTTTCCCTATCTACCGGTCCACTAGTCTTTATTGTGGTGTCAAAACTCTCAATACCAGAGCTGGCTAAGGAAGTGTTGCCAACTGAAGGTGCTACAACTAGAGGTGAATCAATTGATGAAGGTTGAGATTCTGCATCAGAAGAATCAGATTCCATGGAGCTCACTCTCTCTGTCTCTGATGATTCTAGCTCCCCTTTAGATTTTCCTGATGACTTCCGCGACACCGCTTTCTTTATGCCACCACCAACAGATTTACCAGCATGTTTAAGGATGTTCTTTGCCTTGTCTCTCACTCTCCCCTTTTTCGGGCGTTCCCCATTTCCCTCATGACTCTCTTTTCCATCTTCTGTAGGTGCTGTGGCCAATGATGAAAGGGAAACTGTGTCATCCACTATAATCTTCACCCCAATTTCCTTGGCACTAACTGCCCTAAGATTCTCGTGTTGAGATGTCTCAGGTTCTCCAAGATTGCCTGACTTATCCTCGTGTCTAGGACTTCTGTGGAAAAGCGAGCTGATCTTATGTAAACCCCTGTGAATTCGACTAGGAGAATCTGGCTTACTTCCATTAACACTTCCATCAGACCTGCACTCATCATTGTAAGTGGAGCCCCCTGCTGTTGACTTTAAACTTCCCTTGGAATCACCACGCACGCCAAGAACTTCCCCATCAACCCTGCTTTTTCCCTTTCTTGGTTCCCAGACTTGTGCTACTTCACTCCCTGGGTGGTGTACCCATATACCAGTCTCCTGCTGCCCTTCGATATTAATAGGTTCATACTTATCTGCAGTTTTTGATGATTTATCGGCTGATTCAGTGGTTAAGGAGCTTTGCTCAGTTGTATCCATTTCAGCAGATTTGATATCCTGTTCATCGTCCACGCTTCCTCGCTCATATGACTGCTCTGCGTCCTGAAAATTGCTGAAAACTTAGCACTGCCTTATTTTCGTTGTAGCACTGCGTTACACTTAGTATAGTCCTTATCTAGTTTTAGTGCATTCATGATTCATCAGCAGAATAACGCAAAGCACTTTCAGGTGCAAAGAAGATAATCCCTGCGAAATCTTTGCTTCTTAAAATTCTAATTTCTTGTTCATGACAAATTTCATAAGAAAATATACCTTTTTGCTACAGTCAACAACAGTTATGGCAAGATGCAATCTCCCCATTTTAATGTTCTGAAGAGACAGCCACATATCACGCCTCTGCCCATCCCTAAAATCACAGATGTTGATGGAACAATCTCTGTTCACACACAAAAAAAAAAAAGAACATTCAAGTAAATTAGCTGCTTATGTCAGCTTTGAATAATATTCCAGTTGGAAAACATACTGATGTCAAAATGAAAAACGGAAAAATGACAGATAATGCATACACCAAAAGGGAAAAATTTATCGTCCAATAAGTTTGGTGCAGGCCAAAATAAATGAGTAGAATAGTAGTATAATCTAAAAGTTTTAACTTTCAGATGACACAGTACACATAGTTCAACATGGTATCAAAGTAGGCAGACCTAAGATTCTCGCCTCGCCTCCACACACCATGGATATATTTCTGCATGCTTAGCCCAACAAAGAAGTATGAACTCTATACATTAAGGGGCGTGTTGCAGGTTTAAAATAAATACTTAGAAGTGATCCCTTGTGTAACTTAAACTTTTAGATTAGGTGGTTCATGCAGTTTATTAACGTCAAAAAAGACACTTCTCTATTTTAGCAGTCAAAGTTCAGAAGAACTTTTACACGTCTAGTTCAATAGTAGCACTAGAAAACAAAATTACAAATGCAGATCCTTTAATTAAAAAATTTTATTTTCCGCTTTCTTTCTTTTCCAGAGGGTTGAAGTGGGGTCTGCTGGAGATAAAAACCAAATCTAAAACAACAAATCCAAACAAATCGATTGTAGTGAGATTTGTCTGGTAAAATCACTATGTGCAAATGGGCATAAGGCATTCTGATGTTTCAGGATCCATAAATAAGAAACCCCTAATTCCTCTCACGTATGAGAAAACTCCAGATGCGAACAAAATGATAAAACATACGTCAAAAACTAGAATCGCCATTTTGCATGTCAGCATAGTACGGTAGCAACCAGATTAGCAGGAGAGAAAGCTGAAGCACAACGCTAAACATGATAAAAACTGTGAGCACAAAATGAGTATAGAAATAGAACTCAAACCCCTAAAGCATGAGTTAAGTCACTAAGATAGTCACAAGACCGGAAGAGGCCACAAAAGAAGGAAAATTTCTGAACGTAAGCGGCTAGTATTTAAATTGCCAAGAGAGAATAGGACGAACCCCAATGTATCATCAATAAAACGGTCCTTGTCACGAACTTCTACATTGAGCATGTTGTTAGGAGACTCCCATGTACAGACTGGAACCTTGAACTCCTCATTCCACTGTGGAGTCAATGTCTTCTTCTTAGTTTTAGTCCTGAATCTGTAGGGGCCAAGGTGTCCCTTAACATATGGATCAGCCAATCCTGCAAAAGACCACCCAGCTCTTAGGCATATATTTCTAAGAATTTCACAGAAGTACAGCAAGACTATTTTCTACCTACCATTTAAATCTGACGGCTTCATGTCAGCTGCTTCAAGAACTTCTAAAATAACAAAAGCAATGGGCTCCTTAGCATCAACCGAGAACCAGTTTTCTGACAAAATCAGAATGAAAGACTTATCTAGCAGCAGTTGTACAAATTTTTTTATAACAGCGGTACACACTTAATTGAATTCCATCATTCGAAAAAACAGAAGCCCAACAACTCTAATCCCATATATTTCCATCTACACAAGTTCTGCAGCATGTACAAACGTATGATTAATTAGTACTCCCTCTGTTCCAATTTATGTGAACCTGTTTGACTGGGCATGCCTTAAACAAGTCAAAAAGGGGCCCAGAGTATTTGTGTAGTTATAAAGCTTTCTCATTAAGGGTAGAATTGTAAGTTTAAGCTAAATTGTTACTAAATTTAGAAAGGGGTCATTCTTTTTGGAACGAACCAAAAAGGAAATAGGTTCACATAAACTGGAACAGAGGGAGTATGTATTATACTATTATACACATGAAAGATGAAAAGTGTTGTGTTTGACAATCAGCATGCAATGTTCCAATTCTATGAACATCTCCACCATTAATTAAAAAAATATTTCAAAGATCGCTTCTTGCCTACTGTTTTAGAAACAAATAGACTAAATTCAAGCACATTGAGGCCCTAATGTTTTTACTTGTTTCCTTTTCTATTATTCCTGGGGGTGGGGAAGTGAATGGTAGCAAAACTTGTATGCTTCTATGTAATTTCAATTATTGATTAGGTCGAGACACCCACTACAACACACAAAATATTCTAGGAAACATGACCACCACCTCAAATCCTATTCAATCCCCTGCCAGTGCAGTATGGCTCATATTAGAACTTTATCATCAACACGTTCTGTATCAGACTATCAACCAGTTTAAGTAATAAAAAATGAGTAACTGACATGGTTCACTCACCGCCCTATATCACCTTATAACATTGTGGATAATGATCTTAAAACAAATGAAATATTCCAGGAAGTTAACTTCACTGCCATTCATGTAACCAGGACTTCTTCCACAACACTAGCACAGAATCAAATATCGGTAGAATAAAAATGCTTGCAAGCCGCTATAATCTTCCCTCTATCCCAACATAACTAGGGGTAATTATCTATTTACTCAAGCAGGAGTTGGCCTTCTAAAACTTCTTTTCCTTGATTTACTTTAATCCAGAGAAATAACCTGATATCTGAATGGGTTAGTAGGTTACAAGTTCAGGGTTAAAACCAGTTAGAGGAACCCCTTTACAAAAGTAAAAGAACAAAGAACAACAAAAAAAGGCAAAATTGCATTCTTTTTTTTTTTTGATTTGCACCGGGTGTCCGAGTCTCTAAGAGCCTGACTAATCCCGGGGGTGCACAGGCCCTCGGCAAGGAGTTTCCCGCAAGTGCACCACGGTTAATTCAGGTTTTACCCAGTCCGATGGCCCTCAGAAATTGCATTCTCGATACCTGGTTTAAGCGGATGTGCGCATTTTGTCCTAATTTTTGAATTGTGCACATGATACTCTAAACATTTACTGGAAAACGAGACTCGATCTTCAAAGTTAACTTTTGGATGGAGAAAAGTCATGTGCCATAGCAGAGATGAGGATGTTGAGATGGATGTGCGGGCACACCAGATTAGATAGGATTCGGAATGAAGTTATTCGGGACAAGGTGGGTGTGGCCCCTATTGAGGACAAGATGCGGGAAGCACGGCTTAGATGGTTTGGACATGTGGGGAGGAGAAGCACAGACGCTCCAGTAAGGAGGTGTGAGAGGTTGACATTGGAAGGCCTTAGGAGAGGTAGAGGTAGGCCGAAGAAGAGTTGGGGTGAGGTAATTAGGCATGACATGGCGCAGCTACAGCTGACTGATGACATGACCCATGATAGAAAGGTGTGGAGGTCGAAGATTAGGATAGTAGGTTAGGTAGTCTAGATTATTCATACCGATAGTGTTAGTACGTACTCTCGCATGTGGTTGGTAGTAGGCTTATTTGAATACCTGTTTTTTTTTTTTTGGTTGAGTATGCTGCTTTTACATTGTTTTTTGGTGTTGTCCCGTCTTGTTTCTTGTTATTATTGTGGTACCTATGCTTGCGTGAGCCAAGGGTCTATTGGAAACAACCTCTCTACCTCCAGAAAGGTAGGGGTAAGGTCTGCGTACACACTACCTTCCCCGGACCCACTATGTGATATTATACTGGGTATGTTGTTGTTGTTGTAAAGTCTCAAAAGCCCGTTCTCACTTATTTACCTACTTTTTACAAATAATAAGACTTATAGATTGAAATCAAACTTCAAATATGCATATAAATCTTTTTAATATATTAAGACATTATTTTTCAAATTTTAACAATCTTCATAATGATTTTTCTTCAAAAAAATGAAATTTCCATCTCAACTAATTGAAACATTCTCTAATTATAGTTGCTAGGGTATTGATAATTCGTGTATCTAAAATTAAATTCAAATTTCCTGTCAATGAGCTGGAGCCAATAATATTGGAGCAAACCAAGCACCAAAAGGTTTGGGTGAGCGGGAGCTAGCGTGACCATTACCTGGTTGCGGCGACACAAACTTCTCAACATCCACCACCAGCATGTTGGGCTGCAAGATATTATGAACAACTTAGTCTAAAGCTCTTTACAAAGGCTATCTCTTTTTCCTTTTCTTTCGGGTACTTGGAGACCACATTACCTGATTGTAAGCTATTCAAACCATTTTCAGCAAAAACGTAACTTATTTGAAACTTTTTTCACCATTCTGAAGCATATCAAAGTCTAAAATGTGCTTCTACCACAAGCATATTAGGGTAATAACGTTAAATATAAGACAGACTTAAATATGAACGAACCGCACCTCGACAAGTGTCTGCTCAAAGGCAACAGCAAGTAGTTTATCCTGATAAGGATGACAAACAAATCTTAGGAAGATTGTCTAAATGTGAATTCAATGTTTCACAGACACAGAGATACGCATTGAACTAACCATCCATCCAGCAATTCCAGGAAGTTCTGTTACATCAAGCCCATGTGTGAAAATTGGCTTCACAGTCATCTGAAAATAAGGAGGCTCCACAAAGCACACCCGCAACCGACTGATAAACGGCCACTTCCTTAAGAACTTTACCCCAACCAAGACCTACATGGAACAGCGATACATTCAAATATATTATTTTAGGAATTAAAAGATGGCCATCAAACAATACAAAGGAATAAAAGAGTTGAGAGGAGAATAACTATATTCAACGGCTAAACTATCAATGCTGAACAAAGAATTCTCTAAAATTGTCATGAGTTTCCTCATTTGGTATGCTGTATGCATGCCTAGAACACCTAGAAAAGTATGCTTGTTTGCTTGGCTAAAAAGCCATTATTACAGCTAAAACCTTGACGAATAGAAGGCTAGCTCACTAAACTTGGTGCTTCATGTGCAAGAAATCAGGAGAAGATGTGAACCACTTGGTAATTTATATGTCATGTGGCGCAACTCATGCACCCTAAGTTGCTCGGACACGTGTGCGGGTGTCCAACACAAGTGTGGATCTAGAGGTCGGATCCTTCAAGATGTAAATTCTAAGATTCAGGAATAAAGAACCTAGCACGGATACGGATGGGGGACCCGGCTAAAATTAATTCAAAAAAATAAAAATATAAAAAAATCTCTAAATAATGAGAAATTTTGTAGAATACTTACGTATAGCTTGTAAAGATTCTCAAGTTGCAGATAAGTAAAAGATTAATTTCCTAGATAAGATATGCTATTTTCTTCAAATTTACCCTAGTTTTGGTTCTGATTTACGGAATCAAATTGTCTCTCGTCTCGAATTTTTCCATTCGTCGAGGTCAAAGTACCCAAAATTGTTTGACCAGATTCGGTACGAATCCCATACCCACACCCATACTAGTGTCGTGTCGACACGGGTGCGGCGGCTAAACTGTCATGTCGGAGCAACTTAGCATGCACCCACTGACTGTGGAACACAATATGGGATAAATAAAGAACAACAAGAATCGACCAGAAGGATCCTTTTGCAAAGCATCAGGATGAGCTACTTAAACCTATGACTTGAAGATCTCTGTAGCAATTCACCTTAGATAGAATCTCTCAGCACCTTCCGAAAAGTTGGTTAATATGTGAAGTGTCACTCTATCAATATCTCATGTGATCCTACCAGTTTACATGGAGCATGTTCTTTATCTGAGAAATAGTAATGTCTAGAACCAGAAAATTTCTCATCATCAGATATTTCTTTAGGCTTTAATAAAACTACTCTCTTCAAGCCTTACTTCATCACAAAAAAAAGGAAGAAGAAAACATTACGAAACCGTGTTGTTTACCCTAATAATGATCAAGATAATATAGCAATAATATAAAAAGAATACCAAGAAGGAATCGTATGTCCGAAGCACACAAGAATAGGGCCGCAAATCCTTGAATTTCAAGCCTTAAAATTCAGTCTTCAACTATCTTTCTAGCTAAATAGTTTTTAATCAGCTCTTCTTAGCTAAATATTGCTCACATCAAGAGTGTGTAAAGCACTTCTACGTGAAAAGAGAGTCGTTCGAAACAAACTAATCAAAGTTTTTATGACTCGATACTAATATTTCAAAGTTTCACAGAATTTGCAACTATAAGTACTGAACATTAAACTGATACTACTAATCTCCCCATCCCCCAACCTCATTTCCCTCTTCAGTATCAGGTTTTCACAACATTAATTGCATTAGTGAATCACCTTTCCCTCAACATGCATGCCCAACAGATGCAACTTCGCCCACATCCCAAAGCCCAACCTTTTTCTCAGTTTCACCGCAAGAATTGCACTCATGTCATCAGCAGTACGAAAATTCATCCCCAACTCCAGGACCTGCACGTGTTATAAGAAAATTTAAGCCTCACCAAATCGAGCACAAATGTGCAGAAGCCAAACTGCTGACATAAATCAAACATTCTTGAGTCAGGATTACATACCAAGTGATCATCTCCAGTAGATTCACGAAGAACCCTCATTTCTGTGAACATAGGTGGATTTCTTCCTAAGTAGAGATGCTGAATTGCAGCTTCTTTCTGTATGCATTAGGGGAGTTAGAAAAAAGAACTCCTGATAACTCAGCTCAACAAACAAATTAATTCATCAGAGTAAAGTTACAGATTTGCTGGTTAAGGGATAAGGATGAATAACTATAGTGTTGAAGAAAGTAGAACTGCTTGAATTCAAGAAAAAACACTAAATACAGGAAAAATGTAGAAAACAGAAGCATTACATGATATATGATGCATCGAATCAAGAATGTAAGAAAGTAATTAGGCAGTTCAGCAAAAGGAAAACATAGTTTGAACTCTTACAGCAGTCCAGGGTTTGTACTTTTGCATAAACCATGGAATGATTGGGAGGAGAATTTTCTGTGAAACAATCTCCTCCATGCAGATAGGCCATATCTTCTCAATCGCATAGTTTAACCATCTCACTGATTCGGAGTCTGAAAGGACCTGGTAAAAGCCCAAAAAATGCTTTAAACAAAACAAGTCCGTAACTCGAAACTACATCTAGATTCAGCAGGGAAGATGCTGCTTGCTCTAGCTCTTAAAAGATTCCCTCAATAATGAAAGATTAGAATTACAATTTTGGTCTTAAAGGAACACCAAGAAAAAAGGACACATCTAAAACTTGCACTTCTTATTAACTGCAAGAATCAGAATAAAATTCAGGCATATGTCACTTTAGAGAACTGCTACTAATAAATCTTAAATGTTCCAAAATCTATCAGAATATCTTGTGCTTTTTCACACTTCAGTTAATTACTTTTGCCTGTTAAATCCAACAACCAAAAAATAATAAAGTTTCCAAATTTATTAAATACAGTAGCTTCAACAGACCATAAAAGGGAAACAAGACTACTAAGAAAAGAGGGAATCAAATTGCAAAAAGCTTACTCGGCGCTGAGAAGACTGTCTTTTCTCCTCAAACTGTAGTTTCCTTCGTAATTTAGTCACATACTGCTCATGAACCTTCAAAATTTAAGAGCATAATCTTGATAAATCCCACATCAAAAAACTGAAAATTGAAGTGAAAAAAATTGACATAAGACCATCTAAACTTGACAGTCGACGAAGAAACTGTACATGAAGTGATAAAAATACAATCTTTTAGCAACTTACCATGTAGAGATAGATGAGGGAGAGGAAGTAAGCAAAAGGGTGGCAACAATCGAAGGAATTAAGCAACCATAGTAGCAGCAAAACAATGGCCACATGATGAATTATTGTAGCATCCGTTATACTCGTCATTCTTTTATCCCTTAAAAAACTCCTCTTTTTCTGCACACAGTTCTTGATCCAAAAAATGACAGAGACCCACTAGGATAAACGCCTGACCCAAAATTCTGATCAAAACAACTGCAGTAATTACCGAACATCAAAGTCCATTCTCCTTCAATCTCATTAATTGCCTAATAAGTACTCTAGCCATTTATTTCGTACATTTAAACGTAAAAGTATACACTTGTATACGTACTGAAACTGATGGGAGAACAACTTGGGGGTGTTCAAACCGAGCAGATGATTCGGGTTTAAGGTTTGAAAATGGGTTTAGAAAGGGGTAATTACGAGGACGAAGCGGAGACGCGGTGGTCAAGCAAATCGGCGGAAGTTTATCAAAAGAGAGTGGAGATTTTCAAATGAAAAGAGACTCCACTGTACCATGTTGCGAGTGGGGAGAGTAGAGTCCGTGATTTTGGTGTTTTTCCGTTTTCATGCTTTGACCGGCAGAATTTTCCCAATTATATTTGTGGGCTCCATCTTCGGTGATATGTCTGTTATACGAAGGATAACTTATACTAACTTGTTTGGATGTTTGTTACGTGTCGTTCCGTAATGTAACAATTTTGGATAGATTGTGTCGTTTGTCACTCTTTCATTATATTACGCACATGAAAAATAAACTTACAATATTAGAAAGAGAAATTATGATACGGGGTAAAATTATTATATAAAAAGGTAGGGTAAATGATAAAAAAAATTATTTAATAATAATGAAGGGTGAGATTGAGAGAAAGACAAGGTAACGACGCGACCACACCAAATCGGTCGTTACATAAAGTGGCATATTTCGTCGTTATGTAACAACGGATTTAACGACACGATATAATAAAATTTAAGTAACAATCAAAACAAACACCGTATTTAAAATACCAATACGATACAATATAATGGGTAACAATCATCCAAACAAGCTGTAATGGATAGCCTAGGAGATGATTTTCATTTATCGATTATTTAACCAACCCTATTAAAAAATAACAACAACCCCGTATAATCCTCATAAGTGCGGTCTAGAAAGGATAGTGTGTACGCAGACCTTACCCCTACCCTAGGGTAGAGAGGCTGTTTCTGATGGACCTTCGGCACAAGAAGATGAAATGCGACAATAGAATAATAACAATATAACCAGAAGATAGTACCAGCGAGCTAAGAATCAGAAAATATACCTGAAAAAGTGTATGGGTCAAAATCTAACTAAGGGAATTCGGCACGAGGAGATATTATTAGAAGTGATTGTGTCTAGGTCGAATAACGATTAATGGATGGCCGAGGTCAAACGCTTAGAGCAACAGCAACGGCTAGTTTTCTAATACTAGGATATTGGGAGAATATTCAATGGAATATTCTCTGTACTTGTACTTTTAGGTCTGATTAGGAGTATGTCCCATATAAATAGAAAGAGGGAGAAGGTGAAAGGCATGTATTATTTAGGCTGATAAAAACTCTCTTAAAAAATTGACTCTCTAGATAAATACAAACACTACCTTTCTAAAGAGATTCGATTAGTTGTTTATTCTATATTTTTCACATCAGATCCGAGAAAGTCTCCAATATTCCCATAGTTGTATATCCTACATCATTGTCAGAAAGGAGAATCATCTACCTCATTCAATATTGGGTGAATCATTCTCTTTATTTACATTTAGTGTCATTTATTGTTATTTAATGTTTGTTATTCTCATCCCATTATTGACCTTGAACATTTAATACATATTGCATTTAATTGGATTCGGTACTGTCTTTCACAACCCTTGAAAGCCGATTTAGATCAGAAGTTATTATTTTAACTAGGATTAATCCCTTATCTTTTTAATTAATTAGTCTAACCAAAGGTTCACATTTTTTGGTCAAACAATTTGGCGCCGTATGTGGGGATTTTCTAGTTAAAATTTTAGTTTCTTCTAGATCTATAACCAACTACAAAAAAAAAGAAGCAAAACCCTACACTTTCTTGTGCACACAGATCTAACATGGCAGGTAACGGAGAAAAAAGGAGGAAGGCAGTAGCCGACCTCACAGCCAACCTCCTTACCATCAATGAGGTCTCTGAAACGGAGGGTGAGGATATAGCACCAAATACCTTTCCCAGACGAAATGGCTCACCCCCATGGTAGTATCACAGCGTCGCACGATAAAGAAGCCTCCACGTCCACAACGAAAGAGGCGCCACAAACGGTGAAAAAACTACTCGAGGCTTGGCTAACGAATACGTTGACCGGCATCCTTGACAAACCCGCTCAAAAGGCAACCAGAGAGGGCGCAAGGACCTGCGTTGCACCAACAACAGTCGAACAGCACGACCCCCCTCCGCTCGCAGCAGGTATCACTCACAATGCTAATGATGCCATCACAACCATCTTAAGGAAAATGGAAGAGATGGAAAACGAAAACAAAATGCTCCAAGATCAAATGAAAGAGCATCAAGAAAGGGTAGACAAAATACCGGGCGCCCCAAAACTCTTGCCAAAAAGAGATGCCGGCAGGTTCGTTGAGCAACCGTATAGTAATGAAGACGCACCGCATACCATACCTAAGACCTACAAAATGCCTTCGTACCTAAAAATATACGACTGCACGACAGACCCTGAGGATCATGTGACTCACTATGTCACCGCAGTAAAAGGCAACGACCTCGCCAAAGAGCAAGTACCCTCCATCTTATTGAAAAAGTTTGGTGAAACCCTCACGAGGGCACGTTAACTTGGTATTCACAGTTGCCCGCGCGCTCCATTGAAACATTCAAGGAGATGGCCGACAAGTTCATAATGGCTCATGCCGGAGCCAAGAAGGCGGAGGCAAGAGTAAATGATATATTTTCCATCAAATAGTCACCCTTAGAGGGACTGAGGGACTTCCTTGCTCGATTTAACCGCGTAAGGATGACCTTACCAAACGTATTGGAAGGAATGGCCGTGGCAGCTTTCCAGAACGGGTTGAACAGAAGGGGTTCAAGGGCGACCAGAAAGTTGCTGAGTCGGCTCATGAAATATCCCTCAACCACTTGGGATGAAATACACAATGCCTATTGCGCCGAAGTTCGAGCTGACGAAGACGACCTAAATAAACCAACCCAACGACTGACCTCAGTACAAGCCGAGTCCAGAAAGGATTAGAGAAACGACAACAGAAGGGATCTAGCAGGTCCTCGACCCAACCGAGAAAGACATCAATCATACGTCAGAGGTGCCCTCATGCCACCTTCCCGCCACGACGAAGGCCTATCCAGGCCAAGAACAGGGACTCACCAAAACGAGAGAGGTATGCCCCCCTTATTATCTGCCTACAATTTTTGTGTTTCGCCCTCCGAAACAGTCTACGCATGGGAGAAGCTCGGCCCAAAAGTGAAGTGGCCATAGAAGATGAGGTCCGACCTAAGCACCAGGAAGTCGAACACCCTCTGCAAATTCCATTAGTCATAAAACCGAGGACTGCATTGCTCTAAGATAAGGAGTCATGAACATGCTTCACCAGGGACACTTGAAAGAGCTGATGAGCAAAATCGAGGAAGATCCAACTTCGCTCGAGGACGTGAACAACACCAGGGCCTGACCGCTGCCGACTCAACACTACACTAAGGTAGGAAGAGCGGGTTGCAACAGCTTTTACCCGAATAGTGGTTCGGGATCGAATTTCCACAGGGAGCTAGTAATGGAGTTGTATTGTCTGTTTAGTCTAGAATTGCGGTTGTGCCTTTCTAATATCACTTCAAACATATTTGGTTTTGATTTTTATATCTACTATTATTAAGAACTAATGATTGAAGCTAAATTATGCTAGCGGGAATATTTGCTAATTGTAATTAATGTAGAGAAAAGCACTGGGGTCGTGGCATTTGTCCTAGGTAGCTAATTAACGGGGGTAGATGCTACTAAGGATAGATTGACATGTTTGGGGCTTATGCTATAACCGTTGCACAATTGTACCCACTCTCACACCTCTCGGTAGAGGGAGTGATTTGTGCCCAATTGACTCTCTTCGAGGACCAATTGGTAGGCCAATTAGACCAAGCAGCTAGGGTTCAAGTAGGGTGATTACTCTCTCGAGTTTAACCCGTATTGGGACTACCATTTCTCATGGGTCCATCCCAATTCCTTGTTGGGTCAATTTTGGGGTCATAGACTCTCTTTCTCAAGAAGAGTTAAACCCACCAAGCTAGAATCAGTGTTTGCAACCACCAATCCTTAATTAAAACCTAAAATTAACCCAAATAGCAAACACCCAATATCAACCTAACCTTAGATGGCAACACCCATCAATTACCCACACTAGGGTTGAGCCACAACCCTAGCTAGTGAGTTTAGCTACTCATGCTAGATGCAAAAATTAAAGAAATAGATGAAGAAGTAAACATATTAATTCATTGCTAAGAAGAAAATACAATATTGAAGAGTAAGAATGCCAAAAATGGCTAAACTAGGCATTCTCACGAGCTCAGCAGCTTCAGAAAAACAAAACTTAACCTAAAAATAGAAAAAGGTTCTATTTATACTGGGCTGGAAAAATTGGACAAAAATACCCCTGTGGGGTCAGCGCGGACCGCGCAAACATGACCGCGGCCGCACTGGCTCTTGAACTCTTGGCTTCTGCTTCTCTGAAGTTGAGGACCGCGGACCGCGTAAAAGTAGCGCGGCCGCAGTGGAAATTGGCGCGGCCGCACAGAATTGAGCGCGGGCCGCATTGCTTGGAAAGGGTCAAAACTGGGCTCTCTGAATCTCTGCTTCGCGGACCGCGTAAAAGTGTAACGCGGCCGCGGAGCCTGACCGCGGACCGCGTAGAAATGACCGCGGCCGCGTAGCCTCCCCTTGGATTTTGCCATTCTCTGAACCTCCTAGTGCGGCCGCGTTCACGGTTGCGCGGTCCGCACTAGGGCCTCTTTTCCTTAACTTCCTTGGTCTTTGACACTTGAGCAGGTTTCACTCCTTTCTGAGCCGATATTTGACTTTCGTCGCTTTGTCGATCAAACCTGCAATCAAGTACGACTTGTGAACGTTTTGAGACCATTTTGTAGCAATTTTATGACAAAAGCGTAGGCAAGTATGGGCATAAAACACGTTAAAATCCTAGCTTGTCAACTCCCCCAAACTTAAGCCTTTGCTTGTCCTCAAGCAAACAAAATAAGACCCCCCCTTAAAGGAAAATCCACATAATTTCAGCCATCCTAAGGCAATCTCAAAAAGCATCAATTGGGACTAACAATTGCCATCAATACGAATGCATCATTAACACATTTAACTTTTGAAATACCATGGATCAAGTGTGACGCAAGAGCATCAAGAGTTGACACATTTCATCAAAGAGCTTGTCTCAATTACTTTGGTCATTGTGGAACCCAAACTCACATGTCCTCAACTCTCCCTAAGCGAACCTCACCTTTTAGAGTATTAACACACAAATTGAGGTTGATGGAGTTTCACTCATCTCTCTCAAGAAGAAGGTCACAAGTCCGGCTTTAGGTA